CGTGCTGGCTGGGGAATTCTGGGAGTTGGAGTCCACACATCTTAAAGGCGCCAAGGTTGAGAAACACTGCCCTAGATTAACACAGCTCTCCTCCTACAGATCACAGAAGGTAATTGTCCTCCACACTGATTACACCACTTGCTGGACACCAGTTTCAGGCATCACATTTTAAAGGAACACGGAGAAAAACTGGAAGGGGTTTGAAGGATCAGGGCTCTGGAAATCAAGCCCTCTGTCGATCAGGTGGCTTGCATAGCTTACAAAAGAGAAGAGTGGGAAGAAAGTGACGGTGGTCAATCAATACCTGAAAGGTTGTCGTGTGCCAAAGGGTGGCTTAAGGGAGACACGGCTGGCAGAGGGAGCTCCTCCGATCTGCCTTCTGCCTAGCAGGAACCATGGCCAGCCTGGGGGAGCAGAGTCAGCTGAGGGACCATCGACGGGAATTGACTTCATTTTACCCCTTTGCATTTATTTTACATTTCTGGACATTGGTGTGGTCTTGCATGATCAATTGACTAATCAATAAAAGTGGGTGAGGATGATGATGATGACCTGAGAGGCCATCATCTGAAGTCTGGTCAATTACTACAGGAGGTAGCCTCAGCAGCAGGCTCCCTACACTGGCCAAACACGTTCAGGAGTCCAGGCTACGAAGTTAAAAAAAAAACCCAAAGCTCTTTGTCCTCCCCCCCTTGTTATTTAAAGATATTCTGCTCTTGTCTAGGGAAGCTCCATTTAGTCAGGGTGATCCTTTGCACCATCATTCCCATAGGCTGTTGCTAAGAAGAGGGTGCCACACTGCTGTGCCTGTCCCTACCCCACCCCTGCCCTGTTGCCAGGAGATTCCCAGCTGTTTGGAATGATGGGTGGACAAGGGTCAAGGCAGCAGGAAGGGATCCCCCGGCAGCTGGAAGCAGGGGTCATGCTCTGGATGGCCAGAAGAGAAGGAACAGCTCTACTACTGGACTGGTCCAGCTGCTCCGTCTTCTCTGGCATCCTGGCCTGACTCCAGCCAGATGCAGAGAGAAGGGTACTACCACGCCCAACCAACACCTTCAGACGTCTCAAGGTAGCCCCTGCTCCTGCCTGGTTAGACTTGAGCCACCCCCACTGTAGTTCTCCAAGATACGCCTCCAGCCGCACCAGGCTTAATCGGGCAATTCAACACCAGAAGGCTTCACCCACCGTCTTGCTCCTAAAGTGGGTGGCGGTGGAGGGTGTAAACCTACAGGTCATGGCAGGCAGATGGCCCTCGGCCTAGGAGGTGAGGCGGATGGGGCAGAGACAACACACAAAGAGGGTGCGAGCCACAGCCCTGCAATGCTGCACATTGTAAGCCCGGCTCGGCCCAACACGGGTGGAATTTCCGGCCCCCAGTTTTTTCCCAGGGTGATGAGGGTGAAGGTGGCCACCTTCATGTTTCTTTCCCTGTTATTGTTTCTCACTTGGTGCCATTATAGAGCTGGAATGCTACTATAGTTCCCTGTGGTTTGTTTGCATATAATGCCCTTGAAAGAAGAGAAAGAAAGGGAAAACCATCGTTCTTGCGCAGACAGATTTCAGCCTTCCTATCTCCCTCCTTGGCACTCTGAACTCCCCTTCGATTCACAGCAGCCCACACATTGTCTGCCCGTACTCCTTGTCAGGATGTGCTGCACCACAACAGAGGAAATACCCGATATGCCTTACAGATTATGGATATGCAGTATCTGCAGGGTTTCGTGCATGACGGTCTAACAGTTCTTCCCTGCTAAATGGAGCATGCATTGCAATGGCAGAAGCCAAAAAACCAACCCCTCCCCCAAAAAGCTACAACCAGTGGTCCTCAAGACTCCAGTTTTGAAGACCCCAAGGTGGCAAAGGAATGTTATGCCCCACGGCCTCTCTCGTGCCAACTCTCTTTGCAGGATAACCCACGTCACTTCACAGAGGAGGTTTCAACCGCCTTTCTGGATGTCTGTTGCATTTCTCCTGGAATGAGGCTGGGGTCCTTCATCACCAAGAAGCCCACGCCCCCAGTTGACTCCAGCTGACTCAACCTTTTCCCAGTTAGATTGCGCCCCTGTGGTTTTCGCAGTGGCTAAGTACTCCCAATCTGCTCCACAACTGGTAGAGCCCTCACAAAAGGACAGGCCTGGCTACAGGTTTCTGCAGCTTCCCTGCATTCAAAACAGCTGCAGGGCGGCAGGAATCCAGCCGGAGAAGCTTCCCCGAGGCAGAGATGCAACGATAGGGAAATCTGAGGCCAAAAGCATAGGAACCTCTCCCACCAAGAAACGAAAAGGAAGAGCCGTCTCCTCGCAAACCCGCAATTCCGCCCAATTCCCATTATTAGGCTCATTTCCTTTCCAGAGCCAGCCATGGGATTATGGCTGTTGGATGGAGGCCCAGGTGGGAAGGGAAGAGCGAAGGCTGTGAACTGGGCCAAGGGCCTCGATACGCCGAGCTGCGGAACAGAGTGGCCGAGAAATCGTTTCCCCTTTCCCCGTTTCCAGGAAAATTCCCAACGCCCGACATAATGTGCATCTGGTTTGGAAGTTCTGGCTTCCTGATTTGGGCAGGGCACCTGGGCTGGTCCAGAAGATGGATTCCTCTGGCATCCTCCCCCCGTTCTCTGCCTTGACCGAAGCCTGGGAAAGACCCTGAACGCATCTACAGTTCCTTTTCATGGCCGCTGTATGAGGTGGCTGCCAATGAGAAGGAAGAGGTCAAACGCCCAAGCGCCCCAGGGCTCTCCAGCAAGCCCTCTGGTCCCCGGGAGCAGCACCTCACCTCTGGAGGCCAGCGTCCCACCAGCTGCCTCCCCACCAGCCACCCTGGCACAGAAAGACAAGAGAGGAGAGGGGCCGGCAAAGCCACCCCACTCCCACAGCCTCTGCTCTCCATCCTTTGCTGGGCAAAGAAACCCTTGGGGGCCACCAGGCAAGCTGGCCCATGGCCACCTTCTACAGTTCTTCCTGGTCAAGGAAGTTGTCCAAATGTTCAAACTAGAAGATGCCTGCTGGGACAAGGGAGCAGACGCGTGCCAGCCGAGATGCCCTGCTCTGGCCCAGCCCTCCAGCCAGGCTGACCCCGGAGAGCCAGCCCCCGGGAGAAGCCCCCCACCCCACCCAGGCAAAGCTTCTCCTCTCACCTTGTCTGCGGAGGACCGTGGATCCCCTTCTCCGTAGCTGCTCAACCTCCAGCCTTCCCCTCCTTCCTCTCTTGGCGCTTCCTCCAGCCTCACTCCCCTCCCACCCCCTTATCCCGGCCCAGCCCAGCTCTTGGCTGGCTTTCAAATTGCAAGCCCAGCTGCAGATGTGCACAGGGGAGGAGGTCTGTCCTGCCATCCGGTCCTCCCAGGGGGCTGTAACTTAAACTCTGCACTCGCCTGGACTGGCCAGAAGCTTCACGCAGCGACGCCTCCCCTTCCCACCCCCCACCACCCCCGTCCTCCAAATGCGGGGAGGTCCACCAACACTCCTCTTGGATTCCTTTGCAGGAATGTGCAGGATGCTGACGGCAGCAGGCCAACGTGAGGGGGACAAGAGGCCTGGGGAGGCACCCGCAGGAGGTGGGCAGGATACAAGTTTAGCTCACTTTTTAACATGCCCTTTCTCCTGCTGGGAGGAGGGGGCTCAGGGAAAGCATCGCCTAGACTTCAAGGCCAGGGGGACACCCTCTGGGTCATCCAGAGACTCTCTCCTCATCCTCCAGCTGGCCTATCTATGACAGAAGAGGAGGATGCTCACCTGAAACCCTTTGGAGCGCTTTGCATTCCATTTTGGAAAACAGAAGCATGTGGCCAGAGAAAGGGGGGCCTGGAAGCATCACTTGCATTGCTTTTCCTTCACCATCACCACCAGGCATGAAGGTTTGCCAAGGATGGGGAACAGTCTTCAAAGCAGCAGAACCCGTTTAGCAAAGGTGAAAGTGTGGTGGCTCTCCAAACAGACTTCCCTTCTCTACCTGCTTTAAAAAAAAAAAATCTTATTTTGCAGAAGGCAGATGTACTGGCCGGAGTGCAAGTACATGTTAGTGTGGTAGACAATACCAAGCTTTATTCGGTGAAACAGGGTTGATTCCCTGGCACCATCCAGCAAAAAGTGGTGAAAAACTAAGTTGGTGGGATTGTAGCCTGTCCCAAATGGTCACCCGACACAGCAATTACTGGGAGGTCAAATGTTGGGGGAAAGGAAACAGCAGAGATAGCCTCAGGTTTGGAACAGAGGAAACCACGTTTCTCCTTGAAGGTGTCCACCATGTTTTCCTCCTTCCAGAAGCTCATCTTCTACCGAAGCTTTCCCTCTTCGTCAACCCAGTGCAGGCTGACCCGATTCCCACCGTTCCAGTTAGTCCATGGGTCCAGGGTCAGTCATACCCCGGTTGCTGAGCATCAAGGATTTTCACACGCAGTTCTAGCTGCAGAAGAGCCCATTCTAAAACGTGTATTACGTAGACATCAGGATTGGGGGGCAGGGATTACAAATAAAAAGAAAAGAACCCTTTACAAAGGTTCCCTCTCGGGTGCCTGATTAAATGTCCGTTTGCTCTGCATTTTTAAATATATGTACATAGCAGAGTAGAAGAATGGGACGTGCTTCCTGAGAATTCATCGCCTAGCAGCCCCCCATCCAGGGTCCCAAATGCATCAGGAATGGGGAAAGTTAAACCAGGGAATAGGTTGTGCTGAAAAAGCTCCCCTGAGAGTTAAGAAAAGGGGGCCCTTCTTTCAAGTCCAGCTACGGAGTTTCAAGCAAGGCCACAAGGCCAAAGTAGTTGCCCACTGCTTCCTCTCTCCTCTCCAGTCCAGCCTATATAGCCCTCTGGTGGTGTCCCACCCAAGTGGTCACCAGACCCAGCCTTGCTTAGTTTCTCAGTTAGGATTGTTTCTTCTACAACAGAGCTACAGAAAGTGGCCCAAGGGAGTGAGTTCAGCATCCCCAGCTCAGCCATGGCCCAGGTCAAACTGAGAACTTCCTGGGCTACGTTGTTTAAAAACAAGCCAGGACGCACTGCACATATTCTTTGCATCTCCCTTAGCTTGGCCACCGAATCCATGAATTAAATGTCAGAGGTTGATAGGCTCCATTGTCTTCATATTAAAGCAGTGTTCCTCAACCTTAGCAACTTTAAGATATGTGGATTTCATGGCTGGCTGGGGAATTCTGGGAGTTGAGGTCCACATATCTTAAAGTTGCCAAGGTTGAGGAACACTTTGTTAAAGGGTTCAGTTTCAGAGCAGCTGCTCTTCTGAAGGCATCTGTGGGTGCACCTTCACTCCACTTCTGGCTGCAAGGTTGGCCCTTTCCATGGTGCTTTCAAGACCTGAGGCAGTATTTTGCGTCAAGTGGCTCAACGGGAAAGACACCCGAGGACCCTTCCCCCAACAGATACTCCCCCAATGTGCGGGAGTGCAGTTTCCCTCTTGGCTGGGAACTAGGGAAATGGAGTCCAATCCATCCTGAGGGGACTGGGTTGAAGAATACATTGTAAGAGGGGTATCCAAAGTCCCCCTGAGTTTGCCCTTGTAGTAAATGAGCCTTGGTGCATCCACACATCTGCCCTCATGAGGAGGAGCCCCATGAGAAGATGGCCTTGATGAAAAGAAGGGAGACCCTCAGGAAATCTGCCTTGAGCTTCTGAGGGAAAGGCAGGTCTAAGTCTGACATATAATCAGTACAAATAAATTGCATTCTTGACTTCGTAAGTTTCCTTATCTGGGGAAATCCTTATCTCACTATAAATAACGTGTTTAAAAAAAGTGTTGACCTTTATCGATGTTCATTCCTGCTTACAGTTCTCCTGCTTTCTCTGTTGGGTGGAAGCATCGTCTGGATCTGCTACAGGGGTTGTTCAGCCTCTTCCTTGCCGGCCATGTCCTTTCTATCTCTGGTGTGGGAGCAGGGGGTCAAGGCGGAGAAGAGACAGAGCCCCTCTGTTGTTCTAAATTGTGCTCTGGACCTTTCCTGGGTTCCAGTTGTGATGGAGAGATGGTAGCAATGGAGCTTTTCTCCTCTGCACTCCATTCTTAACACTGACAAGTGGGTGTGTTTGGTCATAACTCCCAGCTTCCCCCACCTACCAGGACAAGTTCTTCTTTCATACCAAGGAGGAGGAGGAGGAGGAGGAGGAGGAGGAGAAAAGAGATCCAAGAAGCCATCCTTCTGCAGGCAGGAAAGTCCATCTGTGAAAGAGAAAGAGAGAGAGATGTACCCGAAAAGGTCTTGTCCATGTTCTGGGGGCAAAATGGCTCATGGTGACTGATTCCAAGTCAAGGTGACTACGAGGGAAATGCCATAGCCAGCAGGAAGGAAAGTGTCATCAGGGCAGACCATTCATCCCAACTTCCGGGACACCCCACCCACTGGGCATTGAGGCCTTCCTGATCCATTCTGAGACCTGGCCTTCTTGGTTGAAGCGCTGCCTGGCATGCGCCAAGTGCCATCGATCTGGGCATAGTCTCCATCACAGTGGAAGAGCCCAGTATGTACCTTGGTCAGCCCAGGGTTTCATTTATCTTGGCTTCTGCCCCAGGACTAATTTTGTGAAAGCCAAACACAAACTGGATCCGCCCTGCTTGGGAAGGGCCGTCTGGCTTCCTGCTTCACAATAGTGTTGATGCTTTTGCCAGAGCTAGAACAAATAACCTGAAGTGGACACGGGCATTGTTAATGTCGCCGCCGGGTCAGAGGTGTGGTCCTCTTCTGCCCTCCAAGACTTCCTCTGGCTCATTAATGTTCCCAACAGGCTTCTCCCAGACCCAATGGAGGACTTTTTACAGTTCTGCAAGTTGCAAACAGCCATCAGACTAGTAGCCAAGGCTACTAGCCTCCAGGAATTTATCCAGTCCTCTTGTAAAACTGGCTAAATTTCTGGCTGGGACCATGTTTGAAGGTAGCAAGTTCCATGGTTCAATTCTGCATTGTGGAAAGAGGTCCTGATGTTCTTTTCATCAGTCTTCGATCTCCTTGAATTTAGTTTTGCTGGAAGATCCCAAGTTTGTGAACTTCTTTCTAGCCACCCCCCGCCCCCATATGTGGTTTTCCATATCTGATCTTTGCATCCTTCCCTGCAAACTATCCACAGAGTACGGTCAAAAAGGTCAGGACGGCCACCACAATATTGCACATAAAAACCAGGTGGAGTTCAATCAACCCGCCGCGGCTGCCATCTTAACTGTCTTGACCATACCCTGCAGATTCTCCGTAATAAGCCCAAGGCAGCGCCGTCATCTGCCCTAGGATCAGCGTGAGCTTCAGAAAGCGCTGTGTCCACATCAGAAAAAGCAGAAATATTTGAAATAGATCAATACATAGACCTGTTGTGCTCATTTCTCAGCATGGTATGAACCGTAAGCCATGTCTCAAGTGAAGAGATTTACATGAGGGTAAATAAATACCATATTGACAGGTTTACCGTATCTGCAATCCCCTTCCGAATGCTTCAAAACATGGGGTCCTGTTTCTATGTTTCTGAGCAGCTCCCACACACTGAGTGGAAGCCAGTTTGGCTTTTCTCATATCCCGTTTCCGGTGTTGATTGTCACTTGCTTCACAGAACACATATTGGGATTTCTCAGGCCTCAGTGCAAATCCAGCCAGCCCTAATCTTGCCAAACATTATTTGTTCTGGCAGCCATCTACTAAGATCTTCGCAGCGACCACCATTGTAGCTTTCTGCAAAAAAAAGCCATCAAGTTTGGAGTTGAGCAGATTCACTGTGGATAAAATCCCCACCCCCACCCCCCCGACCCCAAAAACCCCCCAACCTTAGTCCCCTCC